CGTCTTTGTTAGGTTTCTCTTCTTATTTACTCTGTCATTCCTCACAACTCACGTTTTTCACGTCTTTGTTAGGTTTCTCTTCTTATTTACTCTGTCATTCCTCACAACTCACGTCTTTGTTAGGTTTCTCTTCTTATTTACTCTGTCATTCCTCACAACTCACGTCTTTGTTAGGTTTCTCTTCTTATTTACTCTCTGTCATTCCTCACATCTCACGTTTTTCATCTCGGACTACATTCTATCAAAAGTATTTTATTTTCTGCTGTTTGAAAGAAAGTATCATTTAATCTCGGGCTGTCACCACGGTGGTTTCATCTCTACCTGAAACAGGTTATGTTCATGTATTTTGTTACTATTTCATTCTTTTCTCTTTAAATCAGCTGCCTGCTCTCTGTTAGCCCACAATTCCCTCTGTCTTCAGTTTTTAACAACTTAAGATGCAAATTTTGGAGGCTTAGCTGTGTAGTTGAATATAGATGTTATTCTGTTTATTACACGAAATAATTGTTTTACAGATATACCCTAAAACATTAGGTTTTACAGAATGTGTATGGCTTAATTAAGAAACACTCATCTTTGTAGTACCTCTCTAGAGGTTACACTTGTCGTAACCAAAGGTAAAAAATGTGCATGGCTTAATTAAGAAACACTCATGTTTGTAGTACCTCTCTAGAGATTACACTTGTCATAACCAAAGGTGAAAAATGTGCATGGCTTAATTAAGAAACACAAGTTCCTTGCACATGATTGATTAAAGAAATTTACCTCTGCTCTAAACGAATTAAGTCACAAAACTTATTTCAAGTAGATATGAAAAGTGTATCGTTATTACTTCGTTTGAGATTCTCCTCGAATCGTCAACTTGATGTATGTGTTTACAAGTAGTCATAGACTTGTAGCTAAGACTTGTTAAAGTAATTTATCATTTCTCTGTAATTAATCAGAAAACTGCAGCCAAGACGATGTGTTAATATGGTGTTAACTTCCAAGTTAAGTTTTAATAACATTTTTAATAATTAAATCAAAATTTCTTTAAAAATAATATATATATATATTATAAATATGACTTCAGAGTGTCACCATCGAGAGGTAATAGATGTGGTATTGATGTTTTTACCCTAAAAGTTCTAAATTTGATGAGTTATTATACCACAAATGATTTTTTATGAAGAAGAGATGGTTTAGAGTTGTTTATTAAACAGAGTCAGAAAATGTTTTAAATCATCTTGGAGGAAATTTAAAATCACAAATGGTTATATCAGTTGTCTTGATGGACAAATATTTTATGATAATGTTATATATTTGGACAAAACTTTGTGGGTCTAATACAACCAGTAACTGAAAAAAAAGTCTTTATTACGTAGTATTTTTTAGCCATTTTCAGAAGTGTTCACTAAAATGTGTGTAAAAGATCAGACCAATTACCTACCGAT